GAGAAAAGCATATAGTGTTTAGGAATAATTGACATAGTTAAATAAAACAAAATCTATACAAGTTGCATAAATGTGATGGGTACAATTAAACTAAAGACCTGCTTTTTGGTTAACAAAGACTGGACGCGTTTCAAATTTTGCATTTTATCGTTCATACCATATATTATTGTTTTAGGTTTTTTCAGAAATGATGTATTATTCATTTTGGTAATTTTATATTTTCACGTTATCACATCTGCTTACTCAGGGTTGCCTTGCAAACACATTGAAAATTCTAGTCGATCGCTTCATCAATCGGTTTATTCTAATTGACAACATTTTATAACTAGGAATCTCTGTTTCTGCAAACTCCACAAAACGCACCCGCATTGGCATTCGTTGCGTCTAAAAGAGTCATGCCCATAAGTTTTTTTGTTTGGGGTCAAATAACGCATTTAGTCTTTAAAATACTAAAACATTTGGAAAATTCTGAATTCATAAATAAAAGACCGATTGATCGTGACCAAATCAAAAGAAAACGACCGATAAAATTCGAAGGGTTTGTTGTTATTATGTCCCTATATATTCCAAGTGTTAAGTCGTTCTCAAAGCACATCAAATCTCCAAAGCTTAAACCACTTTCTTACTCTCATTTCTTTCTCTATCCAATGGCTCCTTGTTCATTACCTCTTCTTGCATAAGTTAAAAAAATATCATCTTTTTATAAAAATGATTTTTTTTTCTTTCTTTCAAATGACCTTTCTTTAGTTAGAAGAATCCTAATTTNNGTTCCTCAAGTTCATTTTTCATCTTCGTATGTTTGATAAAATCATTTTACGTATTTATTAGAGCATTTTCTCGGTTTGTTGGCATGTATGAAAACAGTACTGAAGTAGATGAAAAATATGCGAATGTGAAATGGGAAGAGCTTGGATTCGCTTTGATTTCCAACAGATTATATGTATGTGGCGAAATGCAAACAAGGAGAGAGCTTCTCAGAAGGGAAAATTATTCCTTATGGAGACATTTCAATTAGCCCTTGTTCTGGGATTCTCAAATATGGACAGGTTTTGCCCTCTCTTAATTTTTCCCCACTCACTTGTACATTTTTGTTAAGATTTCGGTTCGGGTTTTTTGGTTTAAGAAAATAGTAAAAGATGTCCAACCGAGTCTAATTTAATCGGTTTGATACGGTTACAAATCAATATCCTTTTCGAATTCGGTTTTGTTTTTATTATAATTGAATTTTAAGAGAAAACCATTTAGTCATACTAAAACTCTTTCGAACTGGTTTTACTTGGATTCGGATCGGATCGGTTCAATTCATCTAGATTAAATTATCTTAAGCAAAAGCTTGTAATGTACTGTTCTTATATGAGAATGTGAGAGAAATTCATTTGATATTGGCTTGGGTTTATAGGGACTATTTGAAGGTCTCAAGGCTCACAGGACAGAAGATGGACGGATCACACTCTTCCGGCCTGACCAAAACGCTCTTCGTATGCAAACGGGTGCCGATAGGCTTTGTATGATACCTCCTTCCGTGGAGCAATTTGTCGAAGCAGTTAAGCAAACTGTACTTGCAAACAAGAAATGAGTATGGACTGATGACCAAGGTGTATCTAATTCAATTTGATCGCTTGTTAATCTTTATAAGTTGCTAAATAGTTTTACGGTTTTTTGATTTTAGGTTCCTCCTCCAGGTGAAGGGGCTTTGTATATTAGGCCTCTGCTCATAGGTAGCGGTGAAGTCCTTGGAATAGCTTCAGCACCTGAAAATACATTCCTCATTTAGGTATCTCCTGTTGGAGATTACCATAAGGTGAGGTTGATTATTATTATTGAAATACTCTATCAAGTAAACTCGGTCTCAGTAATACTAAAAAGTATTAAAGACGCTTCACTATTTTAAATACTGTTCCATTCTATATGTAGATATTTTTTAAGAAAAAAAATTGAGTCTAAAATATCGATAATGTTATATTTTTTATGGAACCATATGCACTAGCACTATTAAATTGAGACTGTTTAATTTTGTAGGCAAGCTCAGGATTGAACCTCAAAATTGATCATAAGTATCGTCGTGCTCATACCGGTGGAGCGGGCGGTGTGAAGAGTTGCACAAACTATTTTCCAGTAAGGTTAAGAGATTCAAAAATATATATCTATGCCAACAAGTTTGATGGAATATGCCGAGAAGGTG